TTAAGTATTTTTCTGCATCCCTACATTAATAAAATCAATCATTAGGATAAATTCTATTTAATTTTGTCATCATCGGATATAGTGAACTTCTGATATACTGAACCAAAAATGTTAGTTTCTAGAAGTTCACTATAACCGGAGTCGACTATATTAACTCCGCATTCTTGAGTTATAATTCAGAAATCTAGACCTAGAAAATGAGGCTTTGACCGAGAAGTATTTGAATTCTTCCTTCTCTTCCATTTTCTGTTACACGAATGATATTAGCAGTTTTAGTCATGGATGAGTAAAGGGAGTTCTGTCACTTGCGAAGATCTTTGTGCAAGAAAGAGCTGATGTTCAATATCCGTAAAATTATTTCGTGCGTCATACCTCATGTATTTATTACTTTTAATACGGACGTTTGTACATTCTTACTTTTGTAAGTAAAAGTGTTTCAATTGATTTCCAATAAAATTTCTCGAAAACTCAAAAGTCTTTTGTGAAAACGAGCTCAAATTAGTGCATTTTCAGAGACGCTCAAACGATCCTTTTCTCCAAAAGGCAAAGGCCAGGTGTTACTCTTCTGGTGTATTGTTAAAGTCATTTTTCACTTCTACCATTAGCGGCCCGAAAAACTGTGAAATTTTAAAAAGAATATCCTTTAGAAGGCAGTAGATGGCAGCTGCGAAGAGGGTGAGGCGAATCGGAAGAGATACCTACACAGAAGAGATTGCAAAACTAACAAGTATGAATACGTCTGTGCCATTCTGCAGCACCCCTATTAATTTTTTCCATGTTCCTGTGCATTTAACGAAGTAATGCTCACTTCTCACTGCCAGAAGCTGGATAGCTTGGTTTCAATGTCTACGCGCATTGGAAATTCCGAGTATGAAGTAATAACGAATTTGAATTAACGTAGAATCAATAGTTTCTGGTATATGGCAGCTAAAATATGTTGATGTTGGACCGATTCATCGGTGATTTCGGGCTCGTCAAAAGTAAAGATCACTCGTCCCGTAAGTGTAGTGTAAGTGTTCCTCGTGAAGTGGCGGTGCTCTTCCCCCGGCTGAATGCCAACGTACCGGAGTCGGTCGTTAATCATACCAGCGGGGCACCACCCTATCTGGGACAATCTCTTAGATCCCAAGACGTCTTCCGGCTTGTGAGATAGTGCAGTGCGTGCGTGTGTGTGTGTGTGTGTGTAAGTAAGGGATGAGGATAGGACAGGGGAAGAACAGGAAGGAAAGATCGCGCATGGTCCGGGGCCCGCTTGTTAGGGTACTGCCCCGGCATTAGCCTGGTATTGATCGGAAAACTACCGATCAGAGCAGCCGGCCGCTAGATTTCTCCTCACGGCAGCGCAGCGGCTGAATTCGACCTAACCATGGAGCTGGTGTCGAAAATCCTGACATCGTCGGTGCTTGAACCTCGACCCCTGAGATCTGACGGTCAGAGGGCCATCAACTGATAACACGATCCACCTAAGTCGGTTAATGACCATGTGTTATTGGCTTAACTGTTGGATTACTTCTCTACTCTATCTGCTAAAGCACAGCTGGAATGTTATTTCGCCTAAAGAAGAAGATTATGGAAGAGAAAGGAAATTAAAACAAAGAGAAAGGAAACTGTTAACAATATTGTTATCAGGCTATTGAAAATTATTTAGCTATTTTTCATCAACGTCATTCAAATTGTCTTTAGGTCCCGTCCTTAACATAATAACATATCTCTGATGTCCATTGGCATCACTGTTTTCTTCAGCCACGTCAAAAAATCTATAAGTTGTTCTCCTCGCTATTATCTAAGCTATTATGATGTTGAGCTTACAGATTCAAAAGGCATAGACGTCGCTGTTTAATACTGTGTATACCCACAATATCAATTATGCATCATTGTCCAGTGAGTACACATAAGTAAGCGCAGCGTTCATTAGCTGTTCAGGAGGCGCTTGCTCGGGATGGAGAGTCGTAATAGGCATGCCGCCATAAGAGGAAGTGTGCGCCATTTGATAGCCCGCTCCCTGCGTCATCGGGCAACAATTGCGCCCCCCCCCCGCGCGGGTTGGAAGGTGGACGTGGAGGGGGAGAGGGCAGGCGGATGTGGGAGCCCTTGCGACCCAAGAGGCTGCTGCCGTCACGGGCTGTTCGCACAACGGCCAGTAGCCCTGACCCACCGCCGCCGCCTCCGTCGCTCCCGGCATTCCTGCATCCACAACGAGACCTTTTCGTCCTATGCTAATCAAGCAATCAGCAACGGCAGTTGATCTCCGCAACGCCGTTCTGGAATATGTGGCGTTTCGCATATTTTACTCTTTGATTCCGAGAAGGATGTTGTGAGAAGCCTGCAAATGATGGAGTGTGTTCATGTGGATGCATTTAGAATTCTATGAATTATGTGAAAGCCAAACTTTTCAAAAATCAGTTTGCCAAGATGAAAACTGAAATAAGATTAATAAAGAATAGTTGTATTGCAAAAGGATGTGAGAGAGTGTGTGAGCGCGTGATGGGAGGGGGTGTTGGAAACAGAAATCCAAAAGCAGGAAGCGGCATGTCACCCGAAACAGAAGTACATACGAGACTTGAAAAAACAGAAAAAGATAGAAGAGTAAATAGTAGGGAAAATTTAATGTCCGAAAGCTGTAATTATTTGCGTTTGGATCTAACAGCAATGGCTGTCATAGTAAATGTGGCGATTTAACTTTACTTTATTCTCAGAATACTGTTAGTATGTCTTCACTAGAAGAGTGTATGTTCAAATTATTTGAAAAAAGGAAATGATAAATTATTTAAATCATCAGATTGCTCTGTTCAAATCACTTAATAAGCAACGAGCGTACATCAGTCGGCTAGATGAGTTGGTTGCAGACATGTTGAAGAAGAAGAAAAAAGAAAGGAAACAACCAAGACAGTGGATGCGCTATAATGAGAAAAATAAAGACATATACACGTTCCGAATAAATAACATTTTATCTGCCAACAATTAAATACCAAAAACATAAAAGAGAATACAAATGCGTCATTTAGGTCTTTCTGAAGCTGTTTGCGCTTTTAACGATCTTACATTCATTTGTATCTCACATATTCATTGTTTTTTGTTAACGATCCCAACTGGCGACTTTGTTCATCTCTCGTGCATAAGAGCATTTAATTATACTTATTCTGTGAGTTAAAGAAGTTACTATCGTGCAATTTGCAACGTGAATACCTGACACCGATCTAATTATCCCAGTTGTCAGCTGTAATAGACTATTTGCATTTTCAAATGAACGTGGTATTGATGTTTTGTCTTCGTTATCTCTCTTCCTAAATATTATTTCCATTTTTCTGTCATAACGCGTCTCTTTAGTCTCAGTTTGCATTGTTTGTGCCAAGACTTCCTATCTCGTACAATTTTCTTTGTTTACTTTCATCTTGTTGTGAGTATTTTTATGCTCGTGTTCCGTGACAGCTTGTTAACTCGACTACTGTTTCTGCGTACTCGAGGAAGGATTCTTTACACATATTCAGGTAGCCGCGTACGAGCTTAAACAGGTTCTCTCGAAAACAAGTGGTTCCTGGGTTCAATTTACACAAATGATATGAACTCTAATTAGTCTAAACGGTCCCGTGTTCTTCAACCTGTTTCCGGAGTTTCTTGTTGTGTCCTGCGAAGATAGTCACAACTTCACTCGAATTCAGATAGTATCACTTAAGGCTGCATCAGATACGTTGTAAATTTTCTCTAATTAAAAGAAAATTTATATTTCTTTCATTCAATAATTTTTCTTAGTTAAAGTAGATTAATCCTCAACTCTTACCGGTAATGAAATAATTTCCACTTATTAGAGATGGACGGTGGTGATAATTTCTTTATCTCTTCGATATAAAATACTTTTACTTCTAAATACGTTTACACGTTTGTGTTAAATTCGAATTTAGAGAAAATAGCATTGAACTTGATTGTTTGTTTAAATACATAATAATTTTTAGCCGCAAATAATCTCAATAAGTCTCAAACTAGACTTAAGTTTTGGGTAGGGTTTCAGAATTTTTATAAGGATTTTTGATTTTGGTTTGTATTTGCTCATAAAAAACAATATTAATTGTTTCTCTTTATACAGCCTGAATTTTTGGAATAAAAATGAGGGAATAATTTTTTTCCTAGAGCATGAAATTAGCCTTCAAATTCGGGTGTGGTTCCATACTTTTGAATTGATTTTAAGATGGATGTTTTAGGAGAACGCTCTTAGCTCTAGTGTAAAGCTAAGTGCCCACGAGTTTGGAAAATCCAAAAAAGCCTAAAATTTGGGAATATAGCATATAATTTGCATCAAATTAGCCTAAAATTTCGGATACGGTTTGAAATTGGTTTTTGGGCGCTGCTAAATTTATATGGCTGATTCACGCATGAGTCCAGATTGTCATCCGAGCGAGACTCGGACGACAAAGAGATGAGTGGGAGAAGCACCACGCGCCAGTGATGCGTACATTATTTTTTAACGCACACGATACACGATGATTAATTTGCGTCCCAATTCTATCAATTTTCAAATTTGTGCTTTTCTTTCTTTGTACACGAAAAAAGTAATTTTTTTAAGCGTCAGTCCTCGGCTGTTTGATTTACTACAAGCGTAACCTGCAAGACGTTACGGAAGAAGAGAAATCATCAAGAAATTGCTGGGCAGAAAGGAAGCGTTTCTCAGGATATTGCCATTAGAAATATTTGTTCATCTAATACACATATAAGGTGGTAATTTTTTCCGCTAAAGTGACTCGATACTGTATTAAAATAGTTGTACACGTACAATATCGGGCACACATCGATGACTGAGAACCAGACTAAGTCCATTTTACTAAATTTTGCGGGAGAGTCTTTTAAAGCTTTCGTATGTAGTGGGTAAGTATGGAATGTGCTAGTATGGAATGACTGTGTTGCTAACCAGCTCCTGCGAAAAGGGCCGATGACATCCGTCCCTGGCCACCCCTGTCCCGCCACCTCTAAGTCTCTGGACACCCCTTTCTTAACAGCTGAATACTTACAATTGTCCTTCGTATTTCGCGAACGTCGTCTGCTGCGGACGCTCATACGCCTCATGAGTAGATTGTTTACTGAAAGTAAAATAAAATGATTTGTAGAATTTGTAGATGGAAAAATTCACTCTCTCATTGTTTACATTATCAATTTTAGTAATAAAAAGTGTATCCTTAATATTTTACGATTATATTTTTTTAAACGAACATTTACATTTTGAAACTATATTTGTTATATCATCAGGTACTCTAAAACAAATATAAACTAACACTATAAGACATTTACATGTAAAGGCTGTTCTACCTTAACATTTTGCAAATAGGTTTACGTAATATTTTAACAATAACTTTACAAAAAAGATATCTACATGGAGAGGTCTATCTAAACCAGAGAACAGAAATACCGTACTGGAATGATGGGACATTATTTATTCACCTTTACAATTTCAAATGGGGTCCCTCAGTGTTCGATTTTAGATTATATTCTCTCACTTTTATACATAAACTATACGCCCTCGACAATTGGAAATGGAAGAACAGTTCTCACTGCGGATTATAAGATTGTGCTTTACTTTAAGGAAACAGTAAATCGTTCAATATCAGACGTTTCAAATTGGTTTTGTAACAACAAATTAATAGTAATAAGGGGAAAACGGTTTCAATGCAGTTTTCCATTTCAAATAAACAGTTGTATTCTCCATTGAAAATGAACTACGTGCAATGGAATGATGGTTAAGGTAACGAAATGTTTGGATATCACAATTCAATCAAATCTGCAATGGAACGTCCAATGAAATAAATTGAACACAAAACTAAGTTCATTATGCTAGGATCCCAGAATTTTATCAAATTCAGTGTTCATACTACTCGTTGTGTATATTTTTCAAATGTTGATTTCCGCCTGAGATACGCCATAATATTCCGGGGAAACCCAACCTACAGCAAAATACAAATTTCTGTAACTATAACTCGCGATGTAGTCATCACGTTCATCAGTGTCAGTATAAGTAGCTCACTACAAAAATTCACATACAATACATATGTGTATACATTAATATACAACACACTGACATTAAACGATTAAAATCTACACGTTTATGTACCAAGTGATACCTTTCCTGCAGAATAATTGCTTCTAAACAGTTAGAGACTATACCGGTCAATAAAAAGGAAATAAAACTGGTTTTAAAAATGGCATTCAATGTACGGTGAATATTAGTTATCATTTGAACTGTATCATTTTAAAAGATTAAATAAGTCTAGTATTGTACTTCTGGGTCAATGATGATATTTTACAAGTTTTTCTGATTTTCTGAGCGAATGCTGAGATGGCCTCTGGTTTTACTTCTAGATTTAGTAAATGTAACTTCACCATCTGTGCATTTTCCTACGTTTTCCAGTGTTCAATAAATAAGTGATTGTAAAAAAGAAAAAATCTAGCATTTCATAAGGAAAATAATAATTTGTTACAGGTCGGTAAGTATAGCTAATATACATTTTTCATATACTAGCCTTAGTGCCTTAATAAGGTTCAAAATAGCATTCGAATACTTTTAAAGTCAAATTTATAAAAGCTTTGAACATACTGCTGAAATATTATTAATTATGTTTCAGATAAACATTTTTCGAGATTTGTGCTACAAACGCAAACACATCAAGACCATTACTCACTCTTTACAATCACTAGCTCTTACCGTGATTACGGTAGACGGTTACAATCATAGCGCTTACACGTTAGCGATTTGCCCAAAGCGCGGCTCGTAGTGTAGTGTGCTTGCTTTCCCACCGTTGTCGCACGCAGGTCTTCTCAGAAGCGCCCGTCGCGAGAGCGCGCTGGCGACAAGCGCTAAATCTACTACGAGCCGCGCGGCATCTGCGGCATGTTCGCACACTAATGAAGACGCGGCGGCGGCAACAGTTGCATCAGCGTCGGCGCGTTGCATCGGCAGCGGCGTTCTCTTGTTTTCCCCCTTCCCCGCCGCGCCTCGCGGTATTGTTTGCGGGGCCGAACGCCGTCCGCATACAAGTGGGCCAATCAAAATGCAGAGATTTCTGCTATGCGCCGGCGAACATCTGAAGCCGTTGCGTCGCCGCCGCCGCCGCCGGGGCTTTGCGCGCTTCGATTGTCTCGTGTGCCGTTCACACGTGACTGACGCGCGCGAATGGACGCTGAAGGATTGCGTCGCCTCCGCGCGGCGCTGCGAGTGGGACGACCGCGAAATCATCCTCCAAATTCAGAGGCTGCGGATTGCTGGAAGAATGTTGATGAGGCGAGAAATGGGAAATGCAGGGCTAGTGAAAGTCTTTGGGGAGGGGGATTTTCATGAATTATTCTCTGAAGAAATAAGAAGGGCTTGTTGTTGGAATGGGCGATTGAATGGATTCATTAAATCCCAACGCGGGGTGAATTGATTCATTAAATTCCCAACTCGGAATGGATTCGTTTGGATAACTATCAGTGGATGAGTATTTCTTTCATTTGGAAATTATGTAATGTATACCTAAAATCAACAGGAAAAATATAAATAAAAAAATTACTGTGTGCAAAAGATTTTACCTCAATTGTCTTGTGACTCGTTTATATTTAAATAGCGTGTAAAAGAAGAAGCTGGGTTTGAATCGAGATTCGTCGATTCCTGCAAGCCTCTCTTCATTGAGCGTGGAACCTTGCCATTCCCTTGCCTATGTAGCATGAATGTCTCCCTATTTTTACTCCGAAATGACGTACTTAAGGGTGCAAACATATTTCATGCAATGTAGATATTTACATCTACAATACGTAAAGAACTTTTACTGAAATGTCCTTCATTTAGTCGACCTATTCATCTACTTTTGACATTAAATTTCTAATATAATCATAATATTGAATAATGTGATAGTGTACCGGTCAGATGGCCGAGATCATTACGGCAGTAGTATCATAGAGGTCTCAGACCAGAGACCGCGGGTTCAAGTCCCGCTCCGGGCATGGTTGTATTTGTTTATGTCTAAATGCCTGTGCCGTTCTATCACCCCTCACCCTCATCATCATCATCTCATTGTCTATACCCCAGGGCTAACAACCTTGAGGGATAAAAATCGGGATTCAGATAAAATGCTGATCCCCTCCCCCAGAAAGGTACTTGCTTCTGCAGAAGCAAGATGCATGCGTGCTCCGAGTTGGCCTATACGCGAAAAAAAATGTTCGTGTACAGATTTGATACTAAATTACGCAAATACATCTGATCTTTTAGAAATATTCGCTCAACTTTTGTTTCTGTTAAAACTGATATAACTTAAATTACTGTTATATCTATATAAGAATACCAAATAAATAATTCAAATGAAATTTCTCAGAAATGGAGTTTGAAATTGAAAGAATGTTTATTTGTTTTTCTTCCTATACTTACAGAATTGTGAACTTGCATTCGCACAATATTTTGTTTGTGTTTTATGTTGTGTTTTGAAACATTTTTGAACAAAACAAGAAAGTTCTAAACCATTGGAATTATGCGCTTATTAATTTTCTTTTACTATGGTAAATATTGCGTGCAATCGCCTTCCATGTCTTCGTAGTAGAATGTTTTCTTTCGTATATCACTCACATAACATTCACCTTGCCGTAAATTCAACGTCACTAAAAATCTGCCTTCATTCTTTTTCTTCTTCTTCTGCACTCTTAGCTTCTTATTCTGTTTCTGCCTCTTCTTCTCTTTCTTCTTCTCCTTCTTCCTTTCTTTATCCTTCTTCCTCTTCTCCGCCTTCTTCCACTCCTCGTCGTCCTTGTTCTTTTTCTTCTACTCTTAATTTTTCTTCCTGTCCTCCTTCCTCCTCTTATTTTACTTCTTCTCCCCCTCTTCCTTTACCTCTTCTTTTCCTTCTCTTCCTTTTTTGTGCCACATGCCAGATGAAGTGGGCCACGAAGTGTCAGAAATTGGGATTTAGTCCTAACGAGCAATGAATGATGAATGTTGATTTATATGCCAGAGGAAATAATAATACTCGAAGTCCGGAGAAGTGGAAGTGAAAAAAGACAGACAATAATAACAGTGGCTTGGAGAAGAAAATGCTGATATGACCAATTCTAATTTCCACAGTCTGACGATGGACAATATTTTTTGCTGTAACTTCCTCAATGGTTAGGAAATAAGGGAACTGGTTTCGCTCTTGAATCGCTTTAGTCTCTGTACTCCGATCTATAAAACTACTCAATATTCATCATTTGTAGCTTATACTTTAAAGATGTGTGTAATTCATGCACGGTGGGTCTAAATTTTGGAGATTATGATATCAGTTAAAATTAGCTATATGTCTACTATCAGTTTCAGAATGTTTTAGATGTTGCAAGAAGACGATGAATTTGACTTTGATGCTATGTATTCCGAAAGTATTTGTATTAATTGATTCTTTTTTAACGTTTTCTTATTGAAATAAGATTGTACATTTATTATATTATGTAATTTAATTGGCGGCATACAATTCTGCTTTCCAAATATAATGTAAAATATTTATTGTTTGTACTTAACAACACAGTACTGTTGATTATTGACCTCATTAAGAAGATTTCATATATTTCGTTTCAATTATTTTATATTCTTGATTTGTGAATTGAGTAAAATGTTTGATTTGTTACCTGTTGCTGTATGAAATCTGAATGAACCATGCACTTATAAATTTAAAACATTTCCGGTGTTTTTCAAGATTAGAATACTATTTTAAAATATATAATAATTCACTGAGTTACCACAATTTACTTCTTTTCATTTCCCGTTTCACGACATAAACCTTCTCTGTCCTGGACAAATGCAATAAATTTAACAGTACTGACACACCTGAACAAATTCTTCTCTGCTTTCACCTCCTCCTTCTAATGCCCTAGCATTCAAGGATAGCCGAATTGGTCGTACTTGGTGCAATGAAATTATAAATGGTGATTTAAATTACATAACATGATACGGATGGTTTGTCTTCACCTTCTACGTCTCAAATATCCGGCAAAAACCCGAAATGTGCGACGCGGTTTGAATACATAACTCTTGCGTACAACAATAACTCCGTCGAATGGGCCTTCGCCCTTTGAATTGAATTAATGCCTTATTTTATGCGGCGAGACTCAGGCCATTAGGCCTGCTCTTCCGTCTGACCACGCAAATTTCGCTACGCTCCTTTCACCAACTAGCAGAGGAAGGAGGTAACAGGCGATTTGAATTTAGCTCAGGGCCGTCATTTAGGCTTGAGGATCTTTTACATGCAAGTAAATCTACTAACATGGGACAGCCGGCTTTACTTCCCTTCCGAAGGAAGGCGTACAAACGATTTCTTCACCCTTATAAATCCACGGCTTCGATCGGGTTTGAACCCGCCAATTTGGATACAACAGTCCGATGCGCTCACCGCGCGCCCTTTCGGACTTGCTCACCTCATCAAGACGAACCTTTCCCCAAGACGCCTTGTAGAGACACGAAGAACCCCGGCCTCGGACCTTCCGTGTTCGCATCGCGGCGGATCCGCTCACTGGGGAGGAGAGGATTTGTGCGTCCTCAGCTGCCCCGAGGCGAATCGCATCCTCAGCACCTGCTAACGAGCCGCCTCGCGTCCTCCCGCTCTTTTTTTTCCCTTCGCGCGCGTTAATTGCCTTCTTGTTTCCGCTTAAAAGTAAATAGACCAAATCGTGTTTTACGCAGGCAACGCGTGAGAGAGGGGAAAAAAACGGCCGGGCCCCGGCGCCAGTACATAAATAAGAAAACCTCGATGCGAAGGAGAGAATTGTGGTGAATGCCACGTACCACTCGTAACCCATCAAATTACAGAAGCTTTGATTCTATGAATAAAATATGAAGATGGATTCGTGCTTAAACGAAGGGAGGAGAATAAGAAAAAAAACAGACGGCCGCGCGGGAGAGGAAGTAGGGGACGGGAGACGGCGGGAGAATGAATTCGTCAAGAGCGTCCGACCAGCTCGCCAAGGAGCATGATGAAGAGGGGTGTAAAGTAGTAGACATCAGCGGCATAACAAGTACGAGATTTATAACCTGATAAATTAGCCTCACGGAGAAGGGGGGTGGCGGCGGCGGCGGAGGCTGTGTTGGGCTGGGCGCTCACGACCCTCCCACATGCCCGGCCCCGCCCCCGCCCAGCTCCCTGCGCGCCGGGGGGCACGTCGGCGAGCGGCGCATGCACGTAGGGAGGGGGGCGTGGGTGCACGTGGTGCATACGTGCACGTCCAGCGATCGCGGAGGTCCCCAAAAGAGACGGATGGGAGTGTGTTTGTAAGCCAAGCGCGTTGGAGGAGTTTTAGGGCGGAAGGTGGTTAAGGGTGGGAGGAGTTAGATTTGGACGACTGGGTCAAAAAACGGAGGCGAAAACAACTGTGAATGCGCCAAATTAGTTAAAAAGTTATCCTAATCCGTGGTGTAAAACTTTGTCCGAACAATATCTTCTATATTTCTATTTCTTTCTGATGTAATATTTTAGCTCCTCCACTTTTCTGTTCCGTCATTGAACACTCTGTTTTATTTTTCTAGAATCAGTTTTCAAAACAGATACTTTGATACAAAAAAGAGTTTTGCGGAAAGTATATTATCAGGTTAATGAATTACAACCACGGATAAGGAGTTTAAACAGAAATGGAAAGAGACAGTGGTGAGAGAATGAATGAATCATGGTAAAGAATACGAACACACATACATTTTGCTCTAAAAATCAATATTAATATATGAAAGTGAAATTTTCGATTTAATGGAATTCATCAGTATATATTGCATTTCAAGGCGATTTGTAAAAGGTGCTAAATGAGTCACCTTAAACACAATGGTATAATATATGATTCACGGAACACCGAAGTGACACACATTGTGACCGGCCGATAAAAATGTCTTACGAAGGAAAAGTACGATCGTGTGATCGTTATTTCGTTCACTGTAAACACTCACAACACGCCACAACATTCCTCTGAAAAATCACT